TTTTTTTTTTTTTTTTTTTTTTTTTTTTTTTTTTTTTTTTTTTTTTTATGGAACCTCTTTAATTTCATTCCCTTAGGAAAGTTTCCTAAAAATTAGAAAAACGAAGCTTTTTACTTTAAGCTTTTTTTTTTCTTTTTCTATCCTTTTTTTAATAGTATTAAGTCCTTATAATTCATTGTTAAGGTATGGAAAATATATTCTTGGTATGAACGATTGAACTCTATCTTTTATTTAGAGCTGACTTCAGTAGTACCACCCCACCAATTTCAGTCATTCACTATTTAAGTATGCATATTTATGGAATTCTACCTCCTCTTTCTCCCTCTCTCCTAGGTTAATAATAAGTATTTTAACGTAAAATATTTATACATTAATTTAATTATATATTTTTTAAATTGATTCTTTTATATTTTTTTAGAACTATTCATCAACTTCTACATTTGATGATTTAAGGTTGGTGGATCATTCCTCTATAAATTATGGAGTTCAAGAATCGAGGTTCACCAATTTCCTTCAAATTTGTTCCCACATTTTATAAATAAGATTTTCCATAAGTTCGGTGAAGGAATCGAGCGCTGAAAAATACCTCTAACTTATATGCCTAATTCAGATCACCACTTGAAGATCCAACCAGAGGCTACACAATAGTTTGTTGTGTAAGGTCAATAACATTTGGTTTCTGCACTCCGACAAAAAAGAGACTTTACCATTGACTTTAAAGATCACATATCTCCCAATTCAGTGCACCAAAAGGTAAGATATCATCCTTTGATTCAGAGGCGCGAAGCGGTTCGACTGTAAAGGAGAGGAGAGGAATGAAGGATCTAGAATAAGGAGGAGTAAGATATCATCCTTTGATTCTTCCTTGAGATTCCATCTTCAAGATTCATAAAGGGATCGAGGGGAGAAACATCCTAGATTAGGTTGAGGAATGCAATTATTAGGCAGCGACGATAAATATAGCATGCGTCTTCTTCCCTTTTGAAGGAAGAAGACAATGGTATGGTCGGTTATAGAACCGTGAGTTAAGGCTCCGAACCACGCAATTTACTCAAGATTCAAATAATTTTAAAATAACCACCTTAACGAACTTTGCTGCTCATAAAATTTTATTGTTAAGCATATTATGTTAGGTTAAAGTTATATATGAAATTTGGTAGTCATTGAATAAGGTTTAGTAGCTTAACTAAGTAAGTGTAAAATGGCCATATTTCTTATAGGGCTTAATATCTATGGTTTGCGACCTTAAAAACCTCTTAACGACTTGAAACATTATACGTGACCTTAAATAATGACTGTCAAGGTACTATTCAATTTTCATCACCATTGGACCACGTTAGTGTTTCAAACCCTTGTTTAAGTAATAAAATTACTATATTGCCCCTATTAACTAAGAACTTAAGCAATTCCTTTGGTCATCCCAACATCATGACCTCCTTACACAATATCCTAAGTACTCTTGAAATGAATAAAGCTAAGAAAAATACTTATGTTTTCCTTCAGACCATACATGCACCACGAATAGGGTATGACATAAGTAAACCTAGGGCTATTAGTGAACTATGTTAGATAAAACCTGAGTTTTACCGTTTTTCTTATTCACACGATTTCAGAAAATCGTGAGTTTGACCATTTGACAAATCACGTGGAATGGATCACCAGAGTTTTAGAAGTGAGTGGCACAGATTTAGTTGGCCACTCTCCAGCCAATTTTAGAATCCTTTTTAGAAGAATTGTTCAGAAAATAAAACAACCTGAACGCTCAGAGTTATTTTTCTCTCTCCTTTTTGTTACGCATTTTCCCAATTTCCTCTCACCGAAATTCTGTGAAACCCAACAAGTGGTATCAGAGCCAGGTTGAAGATCGGTGTATATCATTGCAGAGGAGCCAACCTATCAACAAACAAGTTGAATAGCTCAAGTGGTTAGAGCTTTGACCTAACATCCCAAAGGTCTCAAGTTCGAGTAGAAGAAAATGTAAAGTGTAAAAACACACACATCGTGGGGCCCATCTCGGGCAGGCTCACTCACTCCTCCACACCATCGTCGTGTGCCGACATCTCCATCACCACCGCCACGAAGAGGGCGTCAAGTTATCGTTGAGCGAGTGATCAGTGAGACAACGACTGCCGTCGTTCAGTATCCAATATTGACAAAGTCCAATTATAACGAATGGATCTTGTTGATGCGCGTCAACCTACAGGCGCAAGGATTATGGCATGCTGTTGAGCCAGAGGAAGGAGAAACGATTGAGTACCGTGAGGATCGGTTGGCGTTTGCCGCCATATTACGATCTGTGCCCCCAGAGATGCTGGCATCTCTCTCCACCAAGCGCACCGCGCAATCGGCCTGGGAGGGAATCAAATCCCGTCGGGTCCGGTGTACAGCGAGTGCGGGAATCCAACATCGAGCAATTGCAGAAGGAGCTCTCGGAGATCCACTTTAAGGACGGTGAATCCGTCGATGATTTTTCAATGCGGATCACGATGCGCGTCAACCTACAGGCGCAAGGATTATGGCATGCTGTTGAGCCAGAGGAAGGAGAAACGATTGAGTACCGTGAGGATCGGTTGGCGTTTGCCGCCATATTACGATCTGTGCCCCCAGAGATGCTGGCATCTCTCTCCACCAAGCGCACCGCGCAATCGGCCTGGGAGGGAATCAAATCCCGTCGGGTCGGTGTACAGCGAGTGCGGGAATCCAACATCGAGCAGTTGCGGAAGGAGCTCTCGGAGATCCACTTTAAGGACGGTGAATCCGTCGATGATTTTTCAATGCGGATCACGGGGCTCGCCAAAAACATCACCACACTCGGTGGCAGCATCAGCGAGACAGAAATCGTGAAGAAGATGCTGCAGGTTGTCCCTGATCACCTCGAGCAAGTTGCGATTTCAATCGAGACATTGCTTGATGTGAACGACCTAACGGTAGAAGAGGTGACCGGAAGACTGCGTAACGTCGAGCAGCGGAAGAAAAATACCATTTCAGCTGTCGACAAGGGGGGTCGTCTACTCCTCACTGAGGAGGAATGGCTTGCACGTCTAAAGCTCCGTGACAACACCGGCGAGAGTAACGGGTCCTCCTCCAGCCGCAAAGA